CTTGTCCATTGGAGAGACTCACCTAAAAACCCACTGCCATTGAGTTGATGCCAACTCATACATATTTCCATTTCCACTCCCCAAAAATGCCATTAGAGGAAAAGCACTCATTCAGTCCAGGAATGGAGCCAAAGAGACATTGTCCTGTGTATGAGAAAGAGGGCTAGATGGCAGGAGCTTGAGGCAGGGCTTCAGCCGTTGAACAATTGTGTCGGGATAGAAACTCTGTCTTGCCATTTGATGTGACCTGAGACCAGTGGCCTTTGCATTTTTACTTCGTGTACGACTGGATGGCTCTCTCGAGGCCTTCTGTGTCTCTGTCTGCAGGGAGACGGCACACTCTAAACTTGGATCACGTGTGTCCAAAGGGAGGTCAGGTATTTTTCTGTGGTTTTACTGAGACATTTGGGATATCAATTTGCAATTCCCTCATCATAAGAACCCCTCTGGTCTCATTCCGTGGGTCTATTAACCACATTTGGGCCCATTTCTAGTATGTCCAAATGCCAACTGACAAGTTGTGCTCAGAAACATCTCATTACTGGCAGAACCACTCCCTGCAGAACATCCCAGTCTCAAGAACCCTTGCTATCTGCTTATCAAATGCTCTCATCCCAAACATCAGTGGGCCTCCTATTAACATAATCTAAAAGAAACTGTATAATCTTAATGTGGCATCACCTTCGTCCCTTCATTCAACATTTAGTAATGCTCTATATTTTGGGGAGGGAGACCTGGTTATATAGGGGCTATGCATCCGGATGTTCACCACAAGGTCAGCAGTTCGAAACCATCAGTCTCTCTGTGGGAGAAAGATGAGGCTTTCTACTGTGTCAACAGTTACAGTCTGTGAAATCCACAAGGGCAGTTCCACCCTGTCCTAAGGGTTGTCATGAGTTGCCATCAACTCAGTGACGGTGAGTTTGGTCCTTGGGTTTGGTTTATTGGGGGTCGTCGTGGAATGCTTGGAATGAGGATGCTGACAAATGAAATAATAAAACTCGGCAGCTTTCACTGAGCTTTGTTCCACCGACTTCGAGTTCTGTAAACAGGTCGTTTAGATACACCTTGGACATCTATCCCTCTGTGTTAAAGCAAGACGGTGTCGTAGGCTACTTTTCATTTTCCATTCTAAGACGTTTATGCTCTATCTTGAGATAAATCAACAACTTATTCCTTTGCTGATGGGATGGAAGGATGGATACTCCCCTAAAGTGACTAATTTGGCTTTACCTAAAAAGACAAACTCATAAATTACACAGGTCCTTCCTCTGAGCAACCTGGGCCTGCTCTGGTTCCGTTGTCAGGAAGGTTAAACAATTAACTAAGATAAAAAAGGGTGTCATGAAAGACAGGTAGACCTATTCATGACAGATTAGTCGGTAAGAACAAGTGAGCCCGTGCCCCCCTTCCTGGTGGAGTAGTCCTGCACTGAGTCCAAGACTAGGAGAAAGGAAGGGAGGGTTGGGTAGAAGCTCCCTACCCCACCAACAGTCTGAGGGAGGTTCAGCAAGACCAAGATGGTCTTGCAATAAAATCAGCCTCTGAGGAGTCCCAGGAGTGCCGGCAATGCCCTGGCCCCAGGAGCCCTTTCCTATTCAATCACTGACTGGGAGCAGCAGTGGGCAGTGTGGCCTCCACGCAACCCCCAACAGTGAATTCCAGAGCTGGGGCTTGGAGATCTTTCAGGCGCTCTGTCCCAGTGGCCACACTGTTGCTGGCAGACCTCCTAGAGCCCATCAGCACATGGCACCTGATCATTTGCAGGAAGTCGTTTCTCTTCGTGATCTAGTGCCAGCCTGTCCTCCACAGCAGCGTGTGGATGGCCAAAGTGAATGAGGTAATACCACCGCTCGAGAAGAGTTCAGGTAAAACGTCTCTTCCAACTTTACGTGTCCCTGTGTGTCAGATTAGGAGGTCTCTATTTGTCTCTGCTTAGCTGGTAGAGAAAAACCAAGTTGTTTTAGGTACAGATGCCCTATAACCTCTTTTCTGGTGAGGCAGAATAATTAAAGGGCACGATTTTCAGAACAGAGTTGGAACACTGCTAATTTCTAAGTCTCCAGACTAGTCACCTGTCCTTAATCATCAAAAGAGAAAACTCTCTTTCTAGGCACAAGCTAAAAAAAGCAGTCCCTTGAACCTTTTAACAGCTAGCACCAATCAAAATCCCAAAATTTTATATTTAGGAAACATTATTTAAGTGCTATATAAATGATAAAATTTGGAAGCCACATTTTTTACCACGTTACAGATATGAATTTAAAATGTTATACCTTTAGTTTTCATGGGCATC